TTTGTTGGAGAAGAAGCTACCGTTATATATGATGTTCTTAAAAATACTACTATTGACCCTTTCTGAAACTCTTCAGACTGACCTCTTGAGAGGTTAATTTTAAGTCTCAGCTTGAAAACGTCCTACTATCAGTACTAACCTCCCCACAATAAAGAGATCATAAGTCACATCTTCAAAAATGTCAACCAACCACTTTGATCAGCAGTGTCCTATCAACAATAGTGTGAGGTACACAACGTGTTAGTCAGGACCAATGACTCTGAAATCAGATCATATAGCTCTACCACTTATGAACAGCCTGATCTTGGACAAGTTACTTAGGCTCTCTAAGGGTTATATTTCTCAAGTGTAAAATGTGGAAAACAAGAGCATCCACCTCAAAGCAATTATGTGAGGATTAAATGAAATGATATATGTAAAGAAGAGAAAGTCAACAGGTTTCCACTACCTTCTGTTCAGACCTAGCAGCATCCACATCAGTAAACCCTGCTTTCCTGCCTGTTGCCATAGATGAGCTATATTCCTATTAAAGTCAGTCTCCTGATTTGTACAGTAAATCCCATCCTTTCTTGCCTAATCAAGAACATTGAGACCCTTTCTTTCCATTATCATTCATTTTTTCTACTCTCTATAGTATTATTCCCATCATAATACAAAGAAGTTTCCCATCTTAAAACAAATAATCTAACAAACGTCTCTTGATGTCACTTCCCTGCAGGTTGCTGATCCTTTCCTATATTCTACCCTGCAGCAAAACTCTCCAAATTGGTTGTATATATGTTCACTTTCTTCACTTTTTCTATTTCTATTCCTATTAAATGCATTCCAATCAGGCACTTTCCTTTGCTACTTCATGAAATTCTTCTCCTCTTTGCTAAATTCAATGATCAATTCTCTATCCTCATCTCAGTTACTCTTACTTTACTTATGAGTGATATTTGATAAAATTATGCTTTCCCTCCTCCAGTGAAAACTTGCTGCAATTGGATCAAAATATCACATTTTCCCAGTTTTCCTTCTTTAACTAGTCACTCCTTCTTGGCTCCTTTCTTGGTTATGCCCAGCCTTATTAAGCATTCAAGTTGCAGTGTCCTAGAGCTTAGTTCTCATATCCTCCTTTGTTCCATATGTATGAATAAAGTTACCAATTGTGCATCTTCAGACCAGATCTCCCCCCAGGACTCTAGTCTCATATTTCAAGCTGCCTACTTGATCTTTCCTTTTGGATCTCCCACAGACATGTCAAATTCGTTATGTTTAAAAATGAAATCTTTATCTTCTACCAAACTCCACCTGGTGCCTTTCTGATCTTACTTGATGGCATCATTCTTTCAGTTGCTCAAGCTACAACTTTGAGATATATTTGGGCATGTCACTCTTTGCTCTCACACCTGTATCCATTTCCGCGGGAAATTCTGTTGGTTCTATGTTCAACTTATACATAGAATTCACTACTTCTCTCCCTATTCAAGGCTGCTTTTAAACCAAGTCATTGTCGTTTTTCTTCTGGAGTACTGATATAACTTCTTCTTGCTTATATTTTTATGCCACTTACAGTCTAAACTTAACCTTGATGCCAGAGAATTTAAATTGTACATCAGACCATTCCGCTCTTCTGCTTAAAGTCTTCCACTGCCTCTCTGTGCAATAATAGAGAATATTTATATTGGTCTCTGTCCCTGGTTCCTGGCACAGAACTCCTAAAACCCTTGTAATTTCCGAAGTAATAAGAACCCTAGGAACATCTTTTGTTCTAATGTTTGGTCTTTGACTCTAGTTCTTGACACAGAGCTGCTAAATCCTTTGGAATTTCCTGGGTGCTAGGAGAGTCTTTTGTTCTAATGAGGCAACTCTGGGTGGGCTCCTGGATGAAAGCTGGTTACCATTGTGGGGACCTGGAATTGGCCACCCCAAGATATGTCTCTTTGGTATCAGGATTATTTGAGGTTGATTGCTTTTGATAAACTGGGACAGGGAAGGAGGAATGGAACTTGCCCTTTGTTAGGACACGTTTACATTTGTAAGGTTTAAATCTCTATCTGTAAAAGGTGCCTCCCTCTCTGTACCAGGAAGAAGAAAGGCGATGACCTACTCTCCAAAAACTCTTAATCAATACCAAAGGCAAGGACTTAAAATCTGCATTTTATTGTGCTAGTCTGGTAACCTCCTGTAACTGACTTCCCTCCCCCTCCCAACGCTGGCATTTCTTAAGGATTAAGCATCTTTCCTTAGGCTAGGAACCGATTGCGGCGCTCATCTGTGACCACCCCCAGGCCGAGGCAACACACCTGCCACCCTGCGGCGCTCACTGAGACAGCAGACCTATCTGCCGTTTCCATCAAGTGCTGTGCTGACAGAGCAGCCTCGTGACTATTGTAAAAGGGTCTTTTCAATCACATGTGAAACACCCCGTTTGGGGGCTATATATCCACTATGTACACCCCACTTCTTCGGTGCCCTTTCTTCCTTCGGGAAGAAAGGCCCCGGGCCATGGTTCCTCATAAAGCTTTGTTTAATTTTCTCTTGCTATTCTGTCTCATGTGAATTTAATTCGTTCTCCAGCTAGACGAACCCCCATTTGGGGAGAGGAAATGTCCTCCTCCCCTACACCATAAAGACTAAACCATTGTTAGACACTTGGAAATTTCAGCCTCCATCTCCTATCCCCCAGGAAGGGGAATGGGCTAGACATTGAGTTAACGATCCATCATACCTATGTGATGAAGCCTCCAAGAAACCCCAAAGGTATGGGGTTCAAAGAGCTTTTGGGTTGGTGAACACATACAGGTGCTGGGAGAGTGGTATGTTAGAAGAGCATGGAAGCTCTGTGCCTCTTTTCACATAGCTTGTCCTGTGTATCCCTTTATCGGGCTCTTCTTCTGCACCCTTTATTATATCCCTTAGTATATAATAAACTGGTAAGCATAAGTAAGAGTTTCCCTGAGGTTTTTTAGCTGTTCTAGCAAGTAATTGAATCCTAGAGGGAGGAGGTCATGGGAAGCTGCAATTTGTAGCCAAGTCAGACAGAAGTTGTGCGTAATCTGGAGAACTACTACTTGGGACTGGCATCTGAAGTGGATGAGAGACTTCTGGGCCCAACCCTGAACCTGTGGGGTCTCATGCTATATCCAGGAAGATAGTGTCAGAATTGAGTTAAATTACAGGACACCCAGCTGGTGTCACAAAGAATTGCTTGGTGTGTAAAAAATCCCCACACATCTGGTGTCAGAAGTGTTTTGAGTGTGGCAGCAATGTGACAGTAAAAGAGAAACACACAAGAGAAGTGTAGGTTTTTTCTAAATACTACCCATTTCACTTAGATGAGATCTTATGATTGTACTGTTTCCTTATTTACACTCCCTCTCATTACTGGCTTTATTGACTCCTACATATATTTGCCATCAGGTTGCTTTAGGCATTTGATTTAAGAACATTCAAGATCTTTCATTATTATCTCAATTCTCAAAACTAGAAGTTACACGGTTGTTTATTAGAAATTAAGAATCACATCCAATAACTTCTGGCCCCAGAAGTCATCTTTAAATTCTTAATTATTTTTCCTGTCTCAACTTTAAAGTAATCATTTTACATTTTCAGGAATTTTTTTTTCAGGTTCACTAATAGAAGCATTTAAGCTGAAAGCAAAAAGGTCACAAAGTAAACGTATGGCATAACATATATTTATTAGCTATCTGTTATGGCTCAAATACCACATTTAAAAAATCAATAGTGCAGGAAATATTTTATTTTTCTCAGTCAATAGCATTCTAAGTTTAATGATTCTTATTTACTGAGAAAAGTGGAACAAAAATTAAGAAGCAAAATGATAAGACTTTAATTTTAACTTTCAACTAATTAAAAAAAAAAAAAAGCTTGTTAAAAGTGAATACTAACGGCTCCTACCAGGAGCTCAGAAGAGCATCTCAGAATTATTTAAAAAGTCAAATATAACATTATTCCAAAAAAAGACATTTTAAACTGCTATATTATGCTAGTAAGATAATTTTCGAACAACTGACAATGTACAGAATATGCCAATATTGCTATGCTTCCCCAGTCTGATGTTACATTATCATATTTAACTGTCCTGGTATTATAATTACTTCAAAGATTTGATCCATTAAACCTGTCACTTATATGACATTCTTTAAAATGAAAAGTGTGGAAGATCTCATTTTCTTTTTTTTCCTAGTGTTTCTGAAGAAAATGAATTGTGTGCTTTCTCTTTCTCAGGCTCTGTCTTTCTTTTTCTTTTACTTTTTCTTTTTGATTGTGTGCTTTTGAAATAATCACCATGTACTCTTGAGGCATTTTTTTACACATCCAAAATCACAAGCCGAATCTAAAATTTTAGTAGCTAATTAAATTTTCTGACAAGTAAAATATACAAAATAATATGAACACAGTTTTAAATTTACCAGTGACAGTCACTAGCAGAAAGTGTAAGTTGGACTTTAGCTTCATTATGGAAATACAAAAATCTTTGCGTCAGAATTTGGATCAAGATCAGAAATCTTTGGATTTTTTTATGTGTCAGGGTAAGCCTGGGTCTCGATACTGACTCATTTTGTCTTGTGACTCTAGTTGCCTCTTGAGATTTCCTAAGAGAATTTGTCTAGACCAGCTCTGCAATAGAACTTTCTGTGATTGAAAATGTTCTATATCCATGCTATCCCATATGGTAGCTATTAGCTACATATGGTTACCGAGTACAAGAAATATGGCTAGTGTGACTGAGAAACAGAATTTGAAATTTCATTTAGCTTTACTTAGTTTACATTTAAATTTAAATAGCCACATGTGTTAATTCTGGTTTCAACTACAACATGTAAAGAAGTTGGAAGTCATCACTCCTATCTTTAAAACAAGGAGAAAGCTTAATAACTGGAAATCAATGACTTTTTTGGATCCATAGGGGAACTGAGGTCACAGGGCAAACTGCTGCCCCTAAATCTAGAGAGAGAGCTGAATCTTGAGAATTGCAGCCAAGATCTCCTTACCTCGAACAGAAGCTGCTGGAGCCATAAACTGGTAGGGACATTTAGATGGTAACTTTCATGAACTGCTGAGGCTGAGCGTGGACTAGTCAGAGTGAATAACTTGTGAGAGCTACAGTCTTGGGGGATCTCCGCATTTTCTTGGTTTTACCTCCAGAAATCCTACCAAGTTCTCACAATGAAAAGCCAGGATCCACTTCTGGTTCTGGTAGGGGAAGAGGGGAAATAACCATTGTAAATATACCTAGGGCAATCTCCATAACAAAGACCTTTTCCCTAAGGGAAAAGACTTTACTAGAGCCTTATCTGATGTGGAGAAAGTGCATTTCTCCAACTCTAGCCTCTTTTAGACTTCCTGTATGACCTAAGAAAAAATAAAAAGCTAAGAAAGACTTGTAATGGTCATAACTCAGGGACATAAGCCCTTTAACAGACTGAGATTTAATCATAAGATTACAGAACACTTCCCTACCACCTACACCTTACCCCTATGCCAACAGGACTGCAGTATAATAGCAGGGGATTGCAGATGAAAGAGCTACAAGATGTAGGCTCCATCTAAAGAAGAGTTCTAAGGAAACTCTAAGAGAAAACAGCTCAAAGACAACAGTGGAGGCAAACAAGGACTCCCCCGCCCTGCCCCCTGCACAATGTGAAGTCTCTGGCACCTACAGCTATAGCAATCATTAAATACAGCATAACTCCTAGCCAGATTAACCTAAAACCTCACACTACAGGCCTATTTACTTCAGTTCCTTTAATTGATATAGTATATCTAATTTTCAACAAAAAATTATAATGTATGCTAAAAGGCAACAACAAACATATTCCAAAGAGAAAAAACAAGCATCAGAAACAGCCTCAAATATGACACAAGTTTTGGAATTACCAGACAGGAAAATTTAAAATAACTATAATCAATAGATTAAGGGCTTTATGGAAAAAAATAGATAACATGCAAGAATGGATTGTTAAGCAGAAAAATTAAAACTCTAAGAAAGAATCAATAGGATTCAAAACTACTAAGCAGAAATGAAATATGTCTTTGATGGACTCATCAGTAGAGTTGACATGGCCAAGGAAAGAATCAGTAAGTTTAAAGATTTGTCAATAAAACCTTCTGAAACTAGAATAAAAAGAGAAAAAAGAATTAAAAAACAAAATAACCAGAACAGAACATCCAGGTACTATAAGACAATCTCAAATTGAATGACAGACTGACAGACACATAATTAGAATACCAAATGAAGAAGTAAGAAAAAATAGAGCAGAGAAAAATTTGAAATAATAATGATCAAGAATTTTCCAAAATCAATGGCAGAAACCAAACCACGTATCTTGGACAGTCAGAGAACACCAAGTAGGATAAAAAGCAAAAATTTTACACCTAGGCATATCATCTTCAAACTGCAAAAAAACAAAGACAGAGATAAAAATCTTGAAAGAAGCCAGAGGGAGTAAAAAATACTTTACTTGTAAAGAAAAAAGGATAATAATTATACTGAACTTTTTATCAGAAACTATGCAAGCATGAAAAGAGTGGAGTGAAATATTTTGTACTGAAAAATAAAACCCTACCATTCTAGAATTCCAAACCCTGAGAAATTATTCTTTAAAGTGATGGAGAAATAAAGACTTTCTCAGTCAAACAGCAACTAAGGGAATTCTTTGCTGGTAGGTCTACCCTCCAAGGAATGTGAAAAGAGTGTTTTCAAGGTTAAGAAAAATATGTTGGAAACTCATATCTACATAAAAAGAAAGAGTGTCAGGGAAGGAATAAATGAAGGTAAAATAAATTCTTTTATTTTTCGTATTCTTAATCTAAAAGATAACTGTTTAAAGTAATAAAAGTAACTATGTTTTGCATGATTTTAGCAGATGGATAAGTGAAATTAATGACAACTGAGCCATAGTGGATGTGAGGGAGGAATTGAGAATGCTTTTGTAAGTGATCTGCACTGCACATGAAGTGGTATAGTGCTATTTGAAAGTGGATTTATTTGTTAAAAACATGTATTGCAGGGGCCAACCTGGTGGTGTAGAAATTAAGTTTGCATGCTCCACTTTGGTGGCTTGGGGTTTGCTGGTTCGGATCCTGGGCGTGGACCTATGCACCACTTATCAAGCCATGCTGTGGCAGGTGTCCCATATATAAAGTAGAGGAAGATGGGAATGGATGTTAGCTCAGGGCTAATCTTCCTCAACAAAAAGAAGAGGATTGGCAGCAGATGTTAGTTCAGGGCTAATCTTCCTCAAAAAAAAGTATATATCGCAAATTTTAAGACAACCACTAAAACTTTTTCAAAAAGAATTAAAACTGACATGCTAAAAAAAGAGACAAAATTAAATCATATAAAATCCTCTATTAAAACCACAGAAGGCAAAAAAAGAGGGGAGAAAAAGAAACAACAAGATAGAAAACAGCAGCAAACATAGTAGACATTAATCTGGCTATATCAATAATCGCTTCACATGTTCTAAATAGACCAATTAAAATACAATAAAAAATAAGACTCAATAATATGTTGCTTACAAAAATCCTACCTTAAGTATAAAGACTCAGATAGGGGCCAGCCCCATGGCCCAGTGGTTAAGTTTGTGCACTCTGCTTCAGCAGCCCTGGTCTTTGCCAATTTGGATCCTGGGTGGACCTAGCACCACTCGTCAGACCATGCTAAGGTGGCATCCCACATAGCAGAACCAGAGGGACCTACAACTAGAATATATAGCTATGTATTGGGGGGCTTTGGGGATAAGAAGAAGGAGAAGGAGGAGAAGAAGAAGAAGAAAGAAGAAAGAGAAGGAGAAGAAGAAGAAAAAGAAGAGGAGGAGGAGGAGGAGGTGGGGGAGGAGGAGGAAGAGGAAGAGGAAGAAGAAGAAGAAGAAGTCTCAGTTTAAAAGTAAAGGGATGGAGAAAGATATACTATGCTAACAGTAACTAAAAGGTTAGAGTAGTTATCTTAATTTCAAATACAATGTACTTCACATAAAGAAAAATTATCATGGATAAAGATGGACATTATTTAATAATAAAAGAGTCAGTTTTCCAGGAAGTCATAACAATCCTTAACATCTATGCACCTAACAATAAAACATCAAAATATATAAGACAATAACTGGTAGAATTGCAGGGAGAAATAGATGAATCTACATTTACAGTTGGACGCTTCAACACGGATGTTTCAGTAATTGATAGATCAAGCATGTAGAAAATCAGTAAGGATATAGTTGGTCTGAACAGCACCATGAAAGCCACCTGTCTCTAGAGGCTGCTGTATCAAATCGTGTAGCCCTAGTCTCTTGCTACGCAAAATGTGGTATTTGGACCAGTAGCATTGCTTTGCTTTGAGCTTGTTAGAAAATCACAATCTCAGGTCACACTCTAGACCTACTGAATCAGAATTGATATCTTTAGCAAAACATCCAGGTGATTTGTATGTGTATTAAAGTTGAGAAGCATGGTACTCGATCATCGGAAAACCTAAACATTCTCTAGGATTTGAGTGGGACATCTATTGCTTCCTATTATTTGACTCTATTCATTAGCACTGTCTACTGGTAAATACCATTGTATCGTATGTGAAGATAGAAAATAGTGAGAGCATGGCAGTATTGGCATCCTCTGGAAGCTTTGAAGCAATAATCTTTACTTTTAGAGGCAATCATTTTTGCAAACTCCTCAAAGTAACTTCCACCCAAAACCACCTGAGGCTGTGCTACAGTAGATTATGCACAGACTTGATATACATTCTTCATGCTCAAATTATAGTATTTTATATGTGGTAATACCTCAGATACATGGAGTATATCTTCTGGACAATCGCACATATCCAGAGTGGCAACAGCATCAGAGAGGAGTCACATTAGGTGAGGGAGTGATAAAAATAGCTGTTGGTTTATAAGAGATTATGCACATAATCGAGAAATAATACAACGTGATATCAATGGACAACTTCCCAAATAAAAAGAAAAGGGATGTTTTTAGTGACTGGGTATGACAGAAAAGCCAAGCCCCTCAGTGAGAAGAACCAAGAAAGAACAGAGTCCTAAGAGATTAGGAGATAAGGAATAGGGAAAAGATGAAGAAATTGTGGCACTTGGTCCTCACTAATAGGTACAACTACAGGAATGAACAGGCAGCACAGACTCTGAAAGAGAGCTGGGAGAAGGACAAGAGAAGTTGAAAAAATTTTGCAGAGGAGCAAACTGCCCAGCATCCTCAGGGGGAATTGCAGAATCTTAAAGTTCTACATTACCTACAGGGTCCTGAAAATACATGGTGAAATAAGCAAACCAAGTCCTACTACTTGGCTTGCCTCAGAGAACATCACTGCCTTCAGAAGGCAGCTCTCATGACTGACCCCCAGGCTGAGTGCACCAGTATAGCGCAGCCCCACTGACATTTTGGTTGATCAAGCACTCCGCCTGTTCCTCCGCTGCCCGGGTGCCTGCACATGCAGCAAAGCCCAGCCAACTCTCCAGTGATGCCACAGTTTCTGATTTTTCTTTCCAGTGACCAGATCAAAAAGCATTCTCATCTTTGTGTACTGTCACAGTTTGGGCCAGACTTTAATAACCAAATAACCGTGAGCCTATTCTAGTGGGTCTTGATAGCTTTTGTATTTTATATTAAGATTTCCTTTAGATCGTTGGGTATAGCTGCTAAGAAACCATCAGCAAATCATGATCCTACAGAATGATATTTGGACTTCTTAGACCTCATTTCTAAATACAGCATCCCTGAATAGTAGTATAATGCCAAATAATCCAGTCTAGAAAAATGTCTTTAAACATTTTCTACCCTAGCGAAGTTTTATCAGTCAATTGTAAGTTTAAGCAGAAAGAGGTCTGGTTGACTTCTTGAACATGCTAATACTTTTGTTTACCTTCAAAGAAAACTTTTATTGACTGGGAAATATTTCAACATCCTGGATATTTGGCATATTTTACCTGAGGTGTATTGGCTGCAAGCAAATGCTTTGAAAGATACAGATATTGTTTTCTAACTGGTATTGCCACTTATTTGTGCCCCAAATAACAGATTCTGTCAGTAGAATGCTCTTATTTCAATTTGGCAAGGTCGCTTTTTTGCTGTATCAACTTCTGAGCTTGCCTTGAGGAAACAGTGCTGGTAGTTGTGGTATTTCACCATCTTGCTGTATGACCTCATTGTTCAGCCTGTGGATCTGGATGATATTGAGAACA